CTGGAGAGAACAGTCACTGGAGAAGGATGTCATGCTGGGTAAGGTGGAGGGTCAGAGAAAAAGAGGAAGACCCCCAACGAGATGGATTGGCCAGGTGGCATCATTGATGGACTCACGTGTGGCAGTGGTGGTGAGGTTGGCCCAGGATCGGACATTGTTTCGTTCTGCTATGCATGGGGTTGCTATGAGTCAGTTCCTACTTGATGGCACCTGACAACAACAACAATATCTAAAGATGGTGAAATTGTCTGGGAATAAATACACGACTGAGAGGATTTCCTAGAGTTGAAATCTACAAAATGCTAATACTCAAACGCCAGCATGAGAAATATTTGCAAGCAAAATAAACTAAGAAAGTGGTCAGAGAATAGGAAAGGAAACCAGGGGTATACATTGTCAAAGTTGCTAAGAAATAAGAGATTTGAAGACTGATAACTAATCATTGAATTTAGTGACTTGGAGGTAATGGGTGAATTTGGGGAAAGCAATTTTTTGAAGTTAGGGTGGGAAGCAGGAAGTCAGATAGATATGGCTGAGGAGTGAGCAGAATAGGAGGAAATGAAGACCATGTTTGTAGACAAATTTGAGAATTTGACTATGAAAAAGGAAAGAGAAATAAGAAGCTAACCGTAGGTTAAAGTGGTAGATAGGGAAAGTTTACCTTTTCTTTTCTTTTTTTAATGAATGGAAAGACTTGATCACATTTTAAGTGTAAACAAAAGTAACTTTTTAAAGAATTCTCGCACAATATAAAATTTAGTTCAAAAATATAGTAATGATACAAGTCTGAATGAAGAGGCTACCTAGATCATCTAGTTAGATCCTTTTCTTTTTTTTCTTTGTGTCATAAGAGCTGAGAGGACCTCTCATCATTTCCATTACAGTCCTAGAGGCCATAGCTTTGTTTTTGTTTCCTGAGACAGTCAAGGGGATTTAAAATTACATATCCAGTTTGATTTTCTTTGGGCTGCTATGAAAGCATGAAATTCTATCTACCCATCTTTGACCTCTTTCTTCCTAAGCACCAGAATCAGACTTTGCCCCAAAACTATGTCTCCAGAATCTTTAATACTTATATGAAAGCCACATTCCTGAAAATCCCAATCCCTTTTATTTACAGATAATATTTCTCTGAGATGTGAAACAAATGGCTCTCTCTTCATTTCCCGACTTGTCAGCTACTTTAAAAAGTATTCTTGTTATTGCCATTTGGAGAAAGTTTTTAGAAAGGTAGGTATCATTTTGTTTGCCTACTTTTATGCTACAGAAAACTTTGTAAAACCACTTGCTAAGCATTTAAGGTAACCCTGAAGTGCTTCAGTCATCTTGATGATCTTTCATGCAGTGTGAGCTCACTTAATGCTTAAAGAGGAAAAATTCCGAAATATAAAACCATATTGTGAGTCATCCCAATAACCTTTGATATGGATATTCCTATTCATTCAAAGAACACAGCTTAGGGAACTAATTCATTCATGTATATAGTATATCCATGGAAAAGCTAAGAACATGTCTTCTGTTTACATGAAATGGACTACAGCCATAATACACACAAACATTCTCTCATTATTAAGAGGAATCTAGTTTCCCTTTTCCAGAACCCCTAATTTATTTCCTTGCTATTTTAGGTTCAACACTCATTTGAAACCCCAGCTGAATGGACCCAGATGCCCACCATTGAAAGAGTAACCCTGACAAGATACTTCTACCTCTTTCCTGGAAATTGAAACTCATAAGAAGTAGCTCAGGTAAATGAATTCACAAAACAGTTTTGGGATTCTCTGCACATAGTGTATGTTTGTATAGTCATTGTTCTATTTGGATTTTACTCATAGTGTGCCTGTATAGGGTTTCCAAGGAGCAGCTGGTGGGTTTGAGCCATCAACTTTGTGGTTAGCAGTCCAGTACTTAGCCTACAGTGCCACAAAGTCTGATAATTTGGAGTTATAACTGTCAGTTTTCCACTATTCACTGAGGCTCATGCTACCTGCCTTTAACAGCTGTCATTGAAACCCTGGTTTTATTTGACCTTGACCATAGGGAGTCCTGGTCTGGTGCTGTGGATTAATGTGCCAGACTGCAAGCTGTTTAAACTGCAAGGTTGGTGGTTCAAGCTTACCTGCTGCTCCTTGGAAACCCTATACAGGGTCGCTATGGGTCGGAATCGACTCACTGGCACTTAACAACAACAACAACAACATAGTGTAAATGGAGTCCTGGTGTGGCACTGTGGATTAATAGGCCAGATTGCAAAGCCATTTGAACTGCAAGGTCGGTGGTTCAAGCTCACCAGATGCTCCTCAGAAACACTATACAGGGTCACTATGGGTTGGAACCGACTTGACGGCATGTAACAAGTAACAACAACATAGTGTAATAGTTGCAGAAGGAATGATATGTCCAATGCGGTCCTAATTTCTCTCTAGTATTGCTCGATTAGGGTAATTCTGGTTCTAATGTATGCACAAAAATCAAATCATCTAAAATACTCGGAAATGCTATGTACAGCTAGCATTTGACCTCTTTATAGGTCAGTTTTGCTGAGTCTCATGCTTCTCTGTTGGTCATGAATCCTGCCTTCATTACGCTGCTAACTACTGGCTTTATGCTAGGCCAAATCTTCCCATTTGGGTATGACTGTTTCATCTCCCTTTTGTGAAAATAATTCTCATACTAGAGATTAGTCCTATTTAGATATTACTTATAAAAACATGATTATTCATGTGCTCTTCTTTCTATTTTTTTCCAGGAAAATGGAGGCATTATGGTCTGTGTAAAGCTACTATTTCCTGAGGATTGTTTTAGATTACTTATCAGTTTTTGTACCAACTTCCCAATAGCCCACCATTCACAAATATTAGCTTAAAATTTCTCTCAAATCTTTGTTGAATTAATGCCCAATAAATTTTTGAAATTATTTGAGTTCTATTTCTTAAAGCTTGAATATTTTTCTACTACACTTTTATTTTCCTGTAATTATTTTTATTTTTAAAATCCTGTGTTAATCTTATATATTAACTTTAAGTACAGTCAGAATGCTCCATGGAAGTCATGATAGTGAGACTATTGCTGTTATTGTTGTGAAGTGCTATGGAGTTGATTCCGACCATAGCAACGCTGTATAGGGTTTTTGAGGAGCAGCTAGCTGGTGAGCTTGAACAGCCGACCTTGCAGTTCAAACAGCTTTGCAGTCTGGCGCATTAACCCACAGGGCCACACTATGACTCCTAGGACTTCCTTATTTTTTGTATATTATCAGGGGGGACTAACCCCTGGAAAAAGACGCCATGCTTTGTCAGTGAGAAAGAGGAAGACCGTCAACCAGAAGAATGGACACAGAGGCTTCCACAATGAACTCCAACACAGCAACTACTGCAAGGGCAGCTCAGGGCCACGCAGTGTTTTGTTCTGTTGTGCATGGGCTTACTATGATTTGGAACCAAACAACCGCATCAGCAACAATTTTGTGTAACTCATTTGGTATGAATTGTGGATTTTGTAGTTCCCCATGAAATACCTATTGTCAAAAACATAGTAATTTAAACATGCCTTTTTTTTTTTTTTTCTTACTAGTTGCAACATTGTTTTAAATATTAATTTAGAATATGCTATGGCCAAACTTCATCTCTCATACTTCGGACATATTGTCAGGAGTCACTGGAGAAGGATACCACGTTTGGTAAGGTGGAGGGTCAGAGAAAAAGAGGAAGACCCCCAACAAGATAGATTGGCCAAGTGGCAGCATCCATGGACTCAAGCGTGGCAACAGTAGTGAGGTTGGCCCAGGATCTGGCAGTGTTTCGTTCTGCTGTGCATAGGGTCCCTATGAGTCGGTACCGACTCGATGGCACCTAACAACAACAAATGGTCTATCTGTTGTTGTTCAGAGCTTTTGAGTGGTAGTTTTCACTCTTAGGGTTCCTATATAGGGTTCCCCAGACTGAATCGTTTCAGGAGCAGAAAACCTCATCTTTCTCCCATGGATTGACTGTTGGATTCTAACCACCAACCTTTGGTTCATAGTCCAGTGCTTATCCTATGGATATGGTCTATCTGTTGAGAGGCTATTAAAAAAAAGTACTGAATACTGATATCTACATTAGGAGACCTTTGCAAGGGATTGAAACTCACTCAAATAGGCTTAAAAAATATTGATGTAAAAATAAAACAGATAATATATTCCTTCGAATAGGAAACAAAATATAACCAAGCCTCTTAAAGGCTGGTCTAGAAAATAGAAAGTCAGAAAACCATTTTCTCTGGTTATGATTTCCAATGAAACGTTATAATAATTCATACAGTAGTATCTTGTTAAGTGTAACACTTTTAGCATATAATTTAACTCCAATATCAAGGAATAAAATATATATACAAACACCTGACTCATATTGAGCACCTGTGATAGACAGTAAGCACAATAAAGTGTCCTCCCAGTACACCACACACATTAGGCAATTATGGAAGAATTGTGACAATTACAGTGTGCTGATTTCTTTGTCAGAGTTTATTGGGCCACAATGCTATTAATTATTATTGTCTTGTTACCTTTACTTATCTTCTCACATTCATATGTTCTTAGTTAATTTCATAGTGTACATGCTTATAGATATATTTTAAGATGATTTCTTAATATTTTCTAATCATTAAAATAGCTATGCATTTGACTACTAACTGAAAGGTCAGTGATTTAAACCCAATAATAATTCTGGGACCCAAAAAATAAATAAATAACTTAAATCTCTAAATTCAGGTGGGATATTTGGCTTTTATGGACTTTAAAAAATTTTTTTCAGCTTCAGTCTGAACTGATGGTCTGCTCCACAGTCTGCCCTGTTCTTGTTTTGTCTGATGATAGGGAGATTTTCCACCATGTCTTTCCACAGATGTATTCAATATGATTTCTTTGTATTCCATCTGGTGAAGTCAATGTGTATAGTCATCTTTTATGCTGTTTAAAGAGGGTATTTAAATGACAAAGTCATTGGTCTTGCAAAATTCTATCATGTGATCTCCAGCATAATATCTATCACCAGGTCCATATTTTCCAATTCCTGATCCTTCCATTTTGTTTCCAATCTTTACATTCCAATCACCAGTAATTATCAATACCATTTGATTGTATTTTTCATCGATTTCTGACTGAAGAAGTTGGTAGAATTCTTCAGGTTCATCATCACTCACTTTAGTTGTCGCTGTACAAATTTGAGTAATAGTGGTATTAACTGGTCTTCCTTGTAAGTATATGGCTCACAAATAACATTATGCTTCAAGATAGATCTTGAAATCTTCTTTTTGATGGTCATTGTGATGACATTCCTCTTCTATTTGTCATTCCAGGTAAAGTAAACCATGTAATTGTCATATTCAAAATGGCTAGTATCAGTGCATTTCACCTCACTAATGCTCAGGATATTGATGTTTATGCATTCCATTTCATTTTTGACAAACTACAGTTATCCTAAATTCATACTTCATACATTTCATGTTCTGATTATTAATAGATGTTTGCAGCTGTTTTTCCTCATTTTGAGTCATGCCTTTTCAGCAAATGAAGATGCCTAATGGTGGGCTCCATTTATGTCACCACCATCAATTCTACTGTGAGTAGGTAACTCACAGCATGTTTTGAGTGACTTTGAACCTGAGGGACTCATCTCTGGCACTATATTTGACAATATTATGGTACTCTTCATCATGTTTAAATATCCTGGTGATATCTAACAGTGTTCACTGCTACTCATAAGCTTTTCAGCAGCTAATAATTCAAAATAGTCACCCATTCCTTTTTCTGAGTTTGTCTCTGTCTGGAAGCTCAACTGAAAGCTGTCCACCACAGATGATCCTACCTGTACTCAAAATACCAGTAGCATGGATCCAGCATCAGAGCAACATGCAACCCCCCCACAGTGTGACAAACTGACAGGAAAGTGCTGAATCGATCTTATGTGTTGTACCAAATCTTTGCTCCATTCATGTCATTAAGTTGATGCAAAGACAAACTCCATTTTGAGTAAGTAGCTATTCCTCAGTTGTATTTTGAGTGCCTTCCTATCTTCTGGTACTATATCTGACAATGTTCCACTACTATTGATACAGTTTTCAGTGGCTAACTTTTCAGAAGTTGTCCTTGTTTCTAGTATGTTTTAGCCTAGATGTTCCATTGAAATCTGTCCACCAGAACCCTTTTAACTATTTAATCTATGATTATTTTTCTTTATAATAATGATAAGGATACTATTAATAACAACAAGTGTTGTTGTTATTAAGTGCCGTCGAGTCGGTTCCGACCCATAGTGACCCTGTACAAGGTTTCCAAGGCTGTAAATCTTTACAGGAGCAGAAAGCCTCATCTTTCTCCTGCAGAGCCACTGGTAGTTTCGAACTGCTGACCTTAAGGTGTGCAGCCCGATTCATAACCACTACACTATCATAGCTCAGCAATAGGCAAATGAACATGAGAAAAATATTTATTTTGAAAATGTTCTGTATGCTCTGAGCAAAACTCTATTAATATTTTCTGATTCACATTTCAGCTCAGATATCACCTTCTTTTAGATTTTTTTTATTTAATGAGGGAATAATTATGTACTAAGTAATGTATACTTCTCCAACATATTTTCACGTCTTTCTAAGAGACAGTCTTGGTGTTGAAGTATAGACAATGAGTTGCTGAAGGACAAAAGAGACCATTCTCTATATAAGGTGTTTTTGCTGTTAGGTGTTCTCT